TTATTTGTTGAAACTGTACTTTCGATTTGATTTGAAACTGTCTCATTGCTATATGTTTATCAATAAAACTTTGAAAAGAAAAAATCAATAAAATAAAAGATTTAATGAGCATCTCAGTCTCACTAGTCATTTCAAGTAATCAATTACCATACACAGAAAATAGCTTCTACTGTGTTACATATCACAAATAAAGAAAAATTTTATCATCACAGAAAGTTCTGCTGGAAAGTATTGTTTGAGACATCCATATGAAATGGATGTCTACTTAGTGAAGGCTAATTAAACAGCATGATGATGAAAATGTCATAAGGCCTTAATATTATAAAAGTTTTTTTTACCTTTAATTATTTGTGAAAGACACATGATTCCATGTGTGTACTAACTTTTGAAATGTATGCTAACCAAGGAAATAGAGACACCTAAAACAGACTTTTAGAAAGAATTTCAGCAATCAGACTGTCAGCACTGAAACCCTTGAGTGGGTGGCCAGCAACAGGTAAGGAAGGAATTAGCTAATGAGCATCTCCTCTCAACAGGTAGTTCTGTAGTCTGGAAGAGGAAATATCTCATGGACTGAAGTAGATTGGTGTGGATACGGCTTGAGGAAAAAGGATAGACTGACTGTGTTCCAAAAAAATATCAACCCAGGAATCCCAATACCCCTTCTCTTTTACCCCAAACCTTTCTTCTACAGCTGTAAGAGTATTTCCCACCAATAACTATGTCACTGATAAGGCTGATATTTTTAGTATCCAGAGTTGAATTGGTTTTACCAAACATTGCACTTAGATTTAAAAAAAAATAACAATAAAGAGAGATCACTCTGTTGGCTATAGTGATCAATTATCATTCCAAAGGATAAGCAGGGCCACTTTTAAGCAAGGGGAGCAAGAATAAGATCTAGAACACAAGGACTTTCAAGAACATTATTTCCAGGGTACTAATAGCAGCCAAGATAAGAAAGTAGCCAAGAGCTCACATAGTTAACAAGTCTCAAAATAAGAATCTTAAGAAAGCAGCATTCCGAGGGCTCTTAGATGGAATAGTGAATGTGGTGACCCCTTCCCCTGGAATCTCTGAGCCATCAAGGCTGCAGGGCAGGGGTGGGAGCTGTTCGCAGAGTGGCAGAGCCATGTCAACCGTGGTGGTGGTGGATTGTCAACCCCTTGCCTGAGCTTGAACAGTCATGGAAGAAGGGCAGGATCAGGAAGAGTGGTGAGAGCTCGGAGGGAGTTTTTGGGAAGTTTCAGGAGCCTCTTTGGAGGCAGCTACAATAAGTCACTTTGAAGGCCGGTAGCAGAGGCACAGCAGCAGCTGATTCTACAACTTGCACAGGAGGCTGAATCTACCTCCACAATGCCACGGTAGGAGCACTGGGCCCCAGTAAGAAAAGGAAATCCAGCAAGCTGATCATGGAACTCACCGGAGGTGGACAGAAGAGCTCAGGCCTGAATCTGGGGAAGAAAATCAGTGTCCCAAGCCATGTGATGTTGGACGAGCTGTCACTGCTCACCAACTGGGGCCCCAAGATGTTCAAGTTGCAGTAGATGTGGGTGGAGTTTATCTATAAGAATGACCCTGATGTTTTTTCTGACAGTTTCGTGGATGGCAATGCCCAAGGCGGATATGAGAAAGCTTCTAAATGTATGATTTCCTGATGCCCAAGATTGACCTGGCACCCCTGCTGAGTGAATCTCTGGTCCTCTACAACCAGAACCTCTCCAACAAGCCTTCTTTCAATCGAACGCCTATTCCATGGCTGAGCTCAAGGGAGACATTTGATAATATTGTGGATATCGATATCTCCTTGGATTGAGAAACAGAGGAACTCTGAAGTGTTTCCTCTTCTAATTTGCATCATGTTTCTCCCCATGGTTCCAATGTGAAGAGGGAAAGGTGAGCAGAATGCCCCCACTGTTAGTCCTGTGTCTCTGTGGGAATAAAGTGAAAAAGGGAGGGAGAGATCTGCCTTTCTGTGTTTTACTCCAAGCCCCAGTCTGGACAACCTTCCTCACCACCTCCAAGCTCCCCTTCTGCCTGCTCCATATGGAGTTTGTCTTGCCACCAGTAACATTCAATAAACTTCAAGGAAATGAAAAAAAAAAGAATTTTAAGATATTCTACCAGATTGTGAAGGGAAAAAAACAGTAGACCTCCTGTTGTGGTGGTGTAAATTCAGCATTTGGGAGACTGAGACAGGAGAAGTACAGTGAATTCAAGGCCAGCCTGGACTACAAAGTGAGTCCAAGGGCAACCTTAACTACATAGTTAAAGTTATCAAGTTATCAAAATTGTGTCTTGTTTGCCAAAAGAAAGAGGGACTAGGCATGGACAGTGTGAAAAGAAGTCATAAATATCAGTTATGATTTTCTCATAAGAAAAGAAGCTCACAACTTTCTCTTCCTTAATGTATCATTTATGTTTATAAATATAAGTATCTTTTATTGTCACCTGTGTGTATTTATTTTGGTCTTTCTCCTCTCTTCTACACTTATCTTTGTTATGTGTGAAGATAATGCTTAAGTTAGAATTAACTTCTAATATTGTGTGGATATTTTAACATGGCTGATAACAACCCCACAACCAGCAAAATCTGAGTGGCAAGCAACAGTAAATGTTCATTTGCCTTTCACATATCAGAAAAACAATAGATGCCCAGCTATTCCAAACTGAGTTTGACTGAGCTTGGATCCAGTCTAAAAAATGAGCTGTGTGTGTGTGTGTGTGTGTGTGTGTGTGTGTGTGTGTGTGTATACCCACTATACATTGAATCCAAGGTCTTATACATGCTAGGCATTTATTCCACCACTGACTTACATTCCTGGACCTTGAATCCACGTATGGTCTATGTGTCTCCTAGTGGTCCTTCAAGATACATCTTCTTGTGGCAAGATGTAGGAAACCAAGAAGTACATCTAGTCCTGCAAAGATATTACAGCCCTAACAGCATCCCTGACCAAATGAGCAAAAGACAGGAGCAAGTCCAAAAGTTAAGGAATAAAAAGGAAATACAATCAACCCACTTGGAGACCACTGGAAGAATTTAGATGTATAACAATACTAATTTGATATGGTTTCACATGAAGAAGATAAACTTCAATGTTACAGAGGCAAAATGTGTTTAAGGTACTGATGTATTACACTTTTAATAAGAGCACTGCTCTCTTCAAGTGGCCCCCAAATTTTTAGAAAATTATGA